AATGTTCGTCGACGGAGGGGCCAGCCATAGCCTCTTCAACTTGGCGACAGAAAAAAAATGCAAGCTGCAACTTGACAGGTGTCTGCCCGAAATTGACGCTCGCCTCGTGGATGGGACGCCTCTGGCGATTTTGGAAGAAACACGGACGGTGAGGATTGAGTGCGGCGACATTTTCGGCTTCAGCATGAAGTTTCTCGCGACGACTCTGGATGGCTGCGACGTGCTGCTGGGACGTGATTGGCTGCGACGACACAACCCCGTCATCGACTGGACAACGGGATCGTGCTGCATCAATAAGCACGAGGGGCTAGTTAAACTGCCTGCATGGACACCTGACTACATCCAAGCCCCGTGCGTCAAAGCTATCACTATAGCTCGCCATTTCAACAGGGGCGCGCAGCTGTACGCTGTATGCTTACGCGAGTTGGCAACCGACACCGACGGACAAGACATCGAGAAGCTGTGTCCAGCTGTATCGCCGGATTTAGCGGAGCTGATACGACAGTACCCGGACATCTTCCCCGACGACCTGCCACCTGGACTGCCACCCGAACGACTCGAGGACCACAAAATACAACTGGAACCTGGCGCGCAGCCGACTGTTCGTACACAGTGGCGGTTGACCCAACCGGAACTCGAGGAGCTGCGAAGCCAACTGGATGGCTTATTGGAGAAAGGGTTTATCAGACCCAGTACGTCTCCCTACGCGGCCCCGATCCTGTTCACCCCGAAAAAGGACGGTGGGCTTCGCATGTGTATTGATTATCGCGCGCTCAACAGGGTTACAATCAAGTATCGCTACCCGATCCCACGCACCGACGACCTCCTCGACCAACTTCGCGGTGCTCGCTACTTCTCGAAAATCGACTTACGTGGCGGTTACCATCAGATACGGGTCTTCGCAGAGGATCGTTACAAGACCGCGTTCCGCACCCGCTACGGAAGCTACGAATTCCAAGTGATGTCGTTCGGCCTCACAAACGCGCCGTCGACCTTTCAACTGACCATGAACCGAGTTTTCAGGGAATTTCTTGACAAGTGTGTGATCGTCTACTTGGACGATATTTTGATTTTCAGCAGGACAAGAGAACAACACCTCCGCGACCTCGACGCGATTTTCCAGCGGCTACAGGAGAACCGCCTCATCACCAAAGGTTCTAAGTGCGAGTTTTTTAAGCAAGAGTTGGAGTTTTTGGGACACGTCATCTCCCGCGAAAATCAAGGCTATACAGGAGTGGAAGTCCCCGACGAATATCACGGAACTTCAGAGTTTTCTGGGGTTCGTGAATTATGTCAGGAGGTTTATCCCGAATATGGCGGGGATAACCGGCCCGCTAACCGACCTGCTGCACAAGGACATCAATTTTGTGTGGGGGGAGGAAGCAGAGGCGGTTTTTCAGGAACTAAAGAATTTTCTGGTATCCCCTCCGGTTCTACGCATCGCCGATCCATCGAAGCCGTTCGAAGTCATCACCGACGCCTCAGATTTCGCCATCGGAGCTGTACTTCTCCAGGATTTCGGAGACGGTCTGCAGCCGATTGCCTACGAATCACGCAAGCTGCAGTCTGCTGAGCGCAACTACCCGATACACGACAAGGAGATGCTCGCAATTATACATGCGTTCAAACTATGGCGCTGCTACTTGGTGGGCGCCGACGTCACTGTTCGCACGGACCACAAGTCCCTACAGTACCTGCGAGCTCAGCCCAACCTCAACCCGCGACAAATTCGTTGGCTCGATTACATGGAGAGCCACTTCACCTACCGCATCACGTACAAGAAAGGGGCGAATAACATCGCCGACGCCCTTACCCGACCAACAGTTCAATCCGCTGCAGTACTCATCACCCACTCGAACCCACTACTTACGGGACTATTCACCCACGGCTACACTACGGACCCGTACTTCACGACTGGAAACCACCAGCAGGCAACGACGCAAAAGGGGAACTATTACCTAAAGGCCGGAACTGACCGGGTTTGGGTTCCCGCTTACCGGCTGCTGCGTGAACTCCTTATCCAAGAGGTCCACGATTCAAACCTCTCCGGACATTTCGGGGTTGATAAAACCCAGAAACTGTTGCACCGTCAATATTACTGGCATGATTCCTCTAACGACGTGCAGCGATATGTGTCCTCATGCAGGGTGTGCCAAGCCATGAAATCGACACGACAGCGGCCAGCTGGATTGCTGCAACCACTGGAGCCACCCGAGCGACCATGGCAACAGGTGACGATGGACTTCGTCACAGGGCTGCCAGCTGGGCCGTCCGGGAACGACGCGGTACTCGTCGTCGTCGATCGCCTCACGAAGATGGCACACTTCGCACCGTGTCGTACAACAATCACAGTCGAAGAAACTGCGCGCCTCTTCATATCAACCGTCGTGCGACTACACGGAATCCCGTCGGCGATCGTCAGCGACAGGGATCCGAAGTTCACTTCAAGATTTTGGAAGGAGACGTGGGCGCAGTACGGCACAAAGCTACAGTTCTCATCAGCATATCATCCACAAACCGACGGACAAACCGAGCGAACCAATCAGACGATGGAGCAGGTGATCAGGACAAACTGCCCCGACCCAACTCGCTGGGAAATGTCACTCGCCATGCTGGAGTTCGCGTTCAACAACGCACCGTCTAGCAAGACTAATCACTCCCCGTTCTTCCTGAATTATGGGATGGACCCGGTGGTGCCAACCACCACGACACTCGACAACCCGGTCCCACGGTCACAAACATTTGTGACAGAACTTCAAGAGATCCGCGAGAAAGCAGCCGACGCTATTCGCAAGGCGAATATTACTGCCCGGAAATACTCGGATCTCCTACGACGAGAAATCGTCATGACGCCTGGGCAACTAGTGCTACTCGACACGAAAAATGTACGCCTGCCCGGCTCGAACAAACTACGGCCACGATTTTGTGGGCCTTTCCGCATCATCCAGATGGTGACACCTGTCACTGCGCAGCTGCTATTACCCGACGACTGGCGTATACACGACGCCTTCCATGTCAGCCTCCTTCGCAACTTCGTGCCTGCCACGACAGACATTGCGCGCCAGAACGCCGCCCCGACAGCTCGACCTGTCCCGGAACCGACCACCGACCCCTCAAAGATTCTCGGACATCGGATCCAGCTCAACGCCACTGGACGTCACGTGGACTTTCTAGTCCGATGGACTGACCGCACCAGTGAGGACGACACGTGGGTGCCATCCGCATCGCTTGAAGCTTCCCCGCTTCTTGGTGATTATTTCGCCTGCAAGCGAGTTGCGGATATTGACCACCTTGCTTAAAGGGGGGGGTAGTGTAAGGATTTTTCCTTTATCCTTACCGGGGTTGACTGCTACGCGTACAACCCCGATTTTCGGACTTCGCACGTTCGGCCGACATCAACGATGCCGAGGCTCCTCCGCGTCGCCTTCGGCTTTCCGTCGCCAAACCTGCACCCAACCTCGTTTCCCGAGGTTCCCTCCGAACTAGGGTATGCACTATATAGTCGCGTGCCTTCATTGTAATTGACACTTCATTAAGTCACAGCTTCGTTATTCGTTATTCCGCGCACTCTCCATTACAACTCATAACAAAATGATTCTGCCTGCATCAATCTTTACCTGACACCTGTTTCCGTCGCTTCGACTCGCCTGACTCCTCGTCTTCGTACTCGGTAGTGCTGGCTCCTGTTGCGTACAGGAATGATATTCATTCCACTTGATATCGCAAGAACATGCGCGCGCTCATGATAAGGTATGCCCACCTGCAAAAGAACTGAAGTTAGTGGTGTTTTATAGGCAAAAACATGATAAACGTTGTGTTATTGTAGTGTTCAGTAGCTATGAGTTCACTTCTTCATGAATTGTCTGCAAGCGAGCTGCCAATAACACTTGACTTCAATCTTTCGCGACATGCTTTCGTCGCCTCGCGAGTGGGCACTGTAACTCTTTGTGTGTCGCAAAAACGAGCCCCTTCCTAGTTGGGTATCACACCGGAGTTCTTTGCGAACTTCGCCAGGGAGGGCTGAGCGTAGTGAAACGCGAACATCCCCGTGCGCGTAGCGAATTTGATCCAGCAGCGAATAATGCGGGGACCCGCAATAATTCAGCTGCTTCCTCTGTGATAGGCTGCGATTTGTTAACTCAGTAATGTCGAGCTCCTCCACACCACCGTTCAACAGTGGCCCCCGCGTTTCTCGCTTTATCAAACCCGTGCAAACGGGACCTCCCAGACGATCGCGTTCAAACTTGATATATTCTGCTCAAAGCCTCCAGCCACATCAATGTGACCCATTCCAGCCACCCGATCGCGTTCCTAGGGCTCCTATTGGGACTGCGAGCCTCGAGCGTTGGCTCTCCCACTGAGAGCACCTGAATTCGTCTATAAACCACCCGCCAGAGCAGATATGGAAACATATTTTCCGCCGCTTCTTTCGTGCTGTATGATAGCAGCGCCATCAGCTTTACCTTCGTATTATATCATACCACGTCTATCGTACTACTACCACTCGGCCCCTTGTTGTCATCCCAAAAATTCCAGAGTGATTTTGGCATTGTGAATTCTGGGATGGTACCATCTCATCTGACGACCATCTTCGCCTAGCATTGCGCTATTCATTGCCCGTGCGTCACGCGTGCGACAAGCTGTGTCACTCGAGGAGCTTGCCGGTTCTCGACGAAGACGCGACTCGTGACTCGGTTGCGGGTGCTACCTGGCTGACCCCATCATGGCCTCCTCTTCTGTCGCGCTGCTTCCGCTCCTCGTCCTTGCCGTCATCTGCGGTGAGCCATTTCATCCTTTCAAATTTCGGCTCCCGCTTTTCTCAAGTTGAGAAGCTCGTACGCTTTGCCTTTCCTTGCACCCTTCGGCTCCCTCTCACCCTTCTTCTACCTCTCACCTCCCCTCTGCATCCAGCGATCGTCACGGCTCACGTCGCGGCAGGCGAGCGCGCGGATCGCCTCAATGCGCGCGCGCGAGTGCGCGGCGGCGGCGCAAGCGAGCCTATGTCTGCCAGAAGCCTCAGAATCGAGAGCACAGCGGGAAGCAGAAATGGGAGCACGCGGGTGGGGGTGGGCGTGGGGGTGGACAGCCCAGGCGGGGCGGTGGAGGCGAGCGTGCAGGTGGGCACGCAGATCACGGTGTCGGGCGTCAGCCTAGACATTAATTTCGACGCCCTCCGCTGCTTCACCTTCCCCAAGGCCGCGCTCAAGGCGCTCAAGGCGGGGCGGGGCGTGCAGGTGTGGTGGAACGGGCTCAAGGGCGGCAGCAAGAGTGGAAGCAAGGGCGCGGGGAGTACGCGTGGGAAGGAGGCGGGCACGGAGGGGCGGGCGGCGGGGGCGGCGTGCAAGCAGGTGCAGTTCTTTGCCAACCCCGCCTGCAAGGGCAAGGCGCTGGATGAGGTGCTGAAGCCGCAATACGCCGGCCTGCGCAAATTCTTCAACGTTCCCAGGTGATTCATGGGAGCACGTGGGTAATGATGTGGTGGCTGGTGGGTAAGTGCTTTCGAATAAAAGAGGCTCTTGGCTTACAAATCCTAACTGCTGCCCTGGCTTTGCGTAAGATATCTGCCCCTCCTGTACGAAGGCCACTGTCGTGAGCCACGGTTGTGCCCAGGGGAGTGTCGCCCTAGTCTATTTCTGGCGTTTTCTCTGGGCGTGTTCCTAATGCCTGACCTAAACGTCTTCCCGATGTCTGATCTGAATGTGCTTCTGACTTCCTCGCAGCACAAAGAAGATCTCCCGTTGGACTTCTGTTTCCTGCACGCCTGGTGCGTGCCTCTTTGCCCACTTGCCTCCTTGCCTCCTTTCCTTCATGCCTCCTTGCCTCCTTTCCTTCATGCCTCCTTGCCTCCTTTCCTTCATGCCTCCTTGCCTCCTTTCCTTCATGCCTCCTTGCCTCCTTTCCTTCATGCCTCCTTGCCTCCTTTCCTTCATGCCACCTTCTCTCCTTGCCACATTGCCACACATACCTCTTGCCACTTCTCCATGAAATCGAGGGTCCCGCATTTCAAATGGTTTCGCCGGCATTTCTGCTGCCCCCCATGACTGCAGACGTAACCTGCCAGCACGCCACGTGTCCGAGCAACTCCACGTGCATGCCAACGAGTGACAGCAAGGGCGTCACCTGTGCTTGCAACCCGGGCTTTGCTGCCAACAATGGCTCTTGCCTAGGTACGCTACTAGTGATGCTACAAGCAAAGGCGGTTGCCAAGTATGCTGGTACTGACACCTCCTTCTCTTCTTTTCTCTTCTCTCCCATACTCCCCTCTTCTCTCCTGCTCTCTCCTGCGAGCCTGCTGACATCATTTGAGAATGCTTGTTACGCCATTGTAGCTAGTTCCCAGATTTTCATTAATTAACAATGACCAATCGCATTTCAAAACACCTGTTGTTCTTGTGTCGCTTGCGTCACAGGCAAATGCGGTTCGATAAAGTGTGGGGCCAACTCGACGTGCAGCACGGATGAGGCAGGGGATGCATCCTGTTCTTGTGACAAGGGCTTTGAAAGGCTTGCCGATGGCACTTGTGCTGGTGAGGCATGCTGCTTAGGTGTATTTGTTTCAGTTGCTTCGTTTTCCCGTTCCACAATTCTGTCTGAACACACAGTTTCTCATTCTTCTTCAAGCCCGAGTCCCAAATTGCGAGGCGCGTGGGTCATGCTTTTAAAACGTGACCCCTCGCGTCATCCTTTTAAAACTTGTGCAATTTGGGCTTCCGGCTTTACCCAAGCCTCACCTTTTCCTCGTCCCACTTGCATCACAGGCAAATGCGGTTCGATAAAGTGTGGGGCCAACGCCACGTGCAGCACGGATGAGGCAGGGGATGCATCCTGTTCCTGTGACAAGGGCCTCGAGAGGCTTGCCAATGGCACTTGTGCTGGTGAGACATGCTGCTTCGGAACCCAAAAACAGGTGTGGAATGTATTTGTTTCAGAGTTGCTTCGTTTCCGTTCCACAAATCTGTCTGAACACACAGTTTCTCATTCTGCTTGCATTGTTTCTTTGCTGTTGACTTGTCATTGCGTTCCCAAAATTAATTTGACAAAAGTCACCTTTCCTCGTACCACTTGCATCACAGGCAAATGCGGTTCGATAAAGTGTGGGGCCAACGCCACGTGCAGCACGAATAAGGCAGGGGATGCATCCTGTTCCTGTGACAAGGGCTTTGAAAGGCGTGCCGATGGCACTTGTGCTGGTGAGGCATGCTGCTTCGGAACCCAAAAGCATGTTGGGAGTGTGTTTGGTTCAGTTTCTTCGTTTTGTTGTTTCCGAAATCTGTCTGAGCACAGCCTTTCTCATTCTTCTTGCAAATTTTCTTCACTGTTGACTTATCATCGCCTTCCCAAACGTATCCTAAACAAAACTCACCTTTCCTTGTAACACGTGCATCACAGGCAAATGCGGTTCGATAAAGTGTGGGGCCAACGCCACGTGCAGCACGGATGAGGCAGGGGATGCATCCTGTTCCTGTGACAAGGGCTTCGAAAGGCTTGCCAATGGCACTTGTGCTGGTGAGACATGCTGCTTAGGAACCGAACCGCATGTTTGGAGTGTTTTTTGTTCAATTTCTTCGTTTTGCCGTTTCCGAAATCTGTCTCAACACAACATTTCTCATGTTGCTTGCAGTGTTTTGTTGCTGATGCCTAGTTTTCCCGTTTCTATACTAATCTCAACACATCTCACCTTTCCTCGAAATTGCATCACAGGCAAATGCGGTTCGATAAAGTGTGGGGCCAACGCCACGTGCAGCACGGATGAGGCAGGGGATGCATCCTGTTCCTGTGACAAGGGCTTTGAAAGGCGTGCCGATGGCACTTGTGCTGGTGAGGCATGCTGCTTCGGAACCCAAAAGCATGTTGGGAGTGTGTTTGGTTCAGTTTCTTCGTTTTGTTGTTTCCGAAATCTGTCTGAGCACAGCCTTTCTCATTCTTCTTGCAAATTTTCTTCACTGTTGACTTATCATCACCTTCCCAAACGTATCCTAAACAAAACTCACCTTTCCTTGTAACACGTGCATCACAGGCAAATGCGGTTCGATAAAGTGTGGGGCCAACGCCACGTGCAGCACGGATGAGGCAGGGGATGCATCCTGTTCCTGTGACAAGGGCTTCGAAAGGCTTGCCAATGGCACTTGTGCTGGTGAGACATGCTGCTTAGGAACCGAACCGCATGTTTGGAGTGTTTTTTGTTCAATTTCTTCGTTTTGCCGTTTCCGAAATCTGTCTCAACACAACATTTCTCATGTTGCTTGCAGTGTTTTGTTGCTGATGCCTAGTTTTCCCGTTTCTTTACTAATCTCAACACATCTCACCTTTCCTCGAAATTGCATCACAGGCAAATGCGGTTCGATAAAGTGTGGGGCCAACGCCACGTGCAGCACGGATGAGGCAGGGGATGCATCCTGTTCCTGTGACAAGGGCTTTGAAAGGCGTGCCGATGGCACTTGTGCTGGTGAGGCATGCTGCTTCGGAACCCAAAAGCATGTTGGGAGTGTGTTTGGTTCAGTTTCTTCGTTTTGTTGTTTCCGAAATCTGTCTGAGCACAGCCTTTCTCATTCTTCTTGCAAATTTTCTTCACTGTTGACTTATCATCACCTTCCCAAACGTATCCTAAACAAAACTCACCTTTCCTTGTAACACGTGCATCACAGGCAAATGCGGTTCGATAAAGTGTGGGGCCAACGCCACGTGCAGCACGGATGAGGCAGGGGATGCATCCTGTTCCTGTGACAAGGGCTTCGAAAGGCTTGCCAATGGCACTTGTGCTGGTGAGACATGCTGCTTAGGAACCGAACCGCATGTTTGGAGTGTTTTTTGTTCAATTTCTTCGTTTTGCCGTTTCCGAAATCTGTCTCAACACAACATTTCTCATGTTGCTTGCAGTGTTTTGTTGCTGATGCCTAGTTTTCCCGTTTCTATACTAATCTCAACACATCTCACCTTTCCTCGAAATTGCATCACAGGCAAATGCGGTTCGATAAAGTGTGGGGCCAACTCCACGTGCAGCACGGATGAGGCAGGGGATGCATCCTGTTCCTGTGACAAGGGCTTTGAAAGGCTTGCCGATGGCACTTGCGCTGGTGAGGCATGCTGCTTAGGAACTGAAAAGCATGTTGGGAGTGTGCTTGGTTCAGTTTCTTCGTTTTGTTGTTTCCGAAATCTGTCTAAACACAGCCTTTCTCATCCTTCTTGCAAAATTTCTTCACTGTTGACTTATCATCGCCTTCCCAAACGTATCCTAAACAAAACTCACCTTTCCTCGGCCCAATTGCATCACAGGCAAATGCGGTTCGATAAAGTGTGGGGCCAACGCCACGTGCAGCACGGATGAGGCAGGGGATGCATCCTGTTCCTGTGACAAGGGCTTTGAAAGGCGTGCCGATGGCACTTGTGCTGGTGAGGCATGCTGCTTCGGAACCCAAAAGCATGTTGGGAGTGTGTTTGGTTCAGTTTCTTCGTTTTGTTGTTTCCGAAATCTGTCTGAGCACAGCCTTTCTCATTCTTCTTGCAAATTTTCTTCACTGTTGACTTATCATCGCCTTCCCAAACGTATCCTAAACAAAACTCACCTTTCCTTGTAACACGTGCATCACAGGCAAATGCGGTTCGATAAAGTGTGGGGCCAACGCCACGTGCAGCACGGATGAGGCAGGGGATGCATCCTGTTCCTGTGACAAGGGCTTCGAAAGGCTTGCCGATGGCACTTGTGCTGGTGAGACATGCTGCTTAGGAAGCGAAACGCATGTTTGGAGTGTTTTTGGTTCAATTTCTTCGTTTTGCCGTTTCCGAAATCTGTCTCAACACAACATTTCTCATGTTGCTTGCAGTGTTTTGTTGCTGATGCCTAGTTTTCCCGTTTCTATACTAATCTCAACACATCTCACCTTTCCTCGGCCCAATTGCATCACAGGCAAATGCGGTTCGATAAAGTGTGGGGCCAACGCCACGTGCAGCACGGATGAGGCGGGGGATGCATCCTGTTCCTGTGACAAGGGCTTTGAAAGGCTTGCCGATGGCACTTGCGCTGGTGAGGCATGCTGCTTAGGAACTGAAAAGCATGTTTGGAGTGTGTTTGGTTCAGTTTCTTCGTTTTGTTGTTTCCGAAATCTGTCTAAACACAGCCTTTCTCATCCTTCTTGCAAAATTTCTTCACTGTTGACTTATCATCGCCTTCCCAAACGTATCCTAAACAAAACTCACCTTTCCTTGTAACACGTGCATCACAGGCAAATGCGGTTCGATAAAGTGTGGGGCCAACGCCACGTGCAGCACGGATGAGGCAGGGGATGCATCCTGTTCCTGTGACAAGGGCTTTGAAAGGCGTGCCGATGGCACTTGTGCTGGTGAGGCATGCTGCTTCGGAACCCAAAAGCATGTTGGGAGTGTGTTTGGTTCAGTTTCTTCGTTTTGTTGTTTCCGAAATCTGTCTGAGCACAGCCTTTCTCATTCTTCTTGCAAATTTTCTTCACTGTTGACTTATCATCGCCTTCCCAAACGTATCCTAAACAAAACTCACCTTTCCTTGTAACACGTGCATCACAGGCAAATGCGGTTCGATAAAGTGTGGGGCCAACGCCACGTGCAGCACGGATGAGGCAGGGGATGCATCCTGTTCCTGTGACAAGGGCTTCGAAAGGCTTGCCGATGGCACTTGTGCTGGTGAGACATGCTGCTTAGGAAGCGAAACGCATGTTTGGAGTGTTTTTGGTTCAATTTCTTCGTTTTGCCGTTTCCGAAATCTGTCTCAACACAACATTTCTCATGTTGCTTGCAGTGTTTTGTTGCTGATGCCTAGTTTTCCCGTTTCTATACTAATCTCAACACATCTCACCTTTCCTCGGCCCAATTGCATCACAGGCAAATGCGGTTCGATAAAGTGTGGGGCCAACGCCACGTGCAGCACGGATGAGGCGGGGGATGCATCCTGTTCCTGTGACAAGGGCTTTGAAAGGCTTGCCGATGGCACTTGCGCTGGTGAGGCATGCTGCTTAGGAACTGAAAAGCATGTTTGGAGTGTGTTTGGTTCAGTTTTCTTCGTTTTGTTGTTTCCGAAATCTGTCTAAACACAGCCTTTCTCATCCTTCTTGCAAAATTTCTTCACTGTTGACTTATCATCGCCTTCCCAAACGTATCCTAAACAAAACTCACCTTTCCTTGTAACACGTGCATCACAGGCAAATGCGGTTCGATAAAGTGTGGGGCCAACGCCACGTGCAGCACGGATGAGGCAGGGGATGCATCCTGTTCCTGTGACAAGGGCTTTGAAAGGCTTGCCGATGGCACTTGTGCTGGTGAGGCATGCTGCTTCGGAACCCAAAAGCATGTTGGGAGTGTGTTTGGTTCAGTTTCTTCGTTTTGTTGTTTCCAAAATCTGTCTGAGCACAGCCTTTCTCATTCTTCTTGCAAATTTTCTTCACTGTTGACTTATCATCGCCTTCCCAAACGTATCCTAAACAAAACTCACCTTTCCTTGTAACACGTGCATCACAGGCAAATGCGGTTCGATAAAGTGTGGGGCCAACGCCACGTGCAGCACGGATGAGGCAGGGGATGCATCCTGTTCCTGTGACAAGGGCTTCGAAAGGCTTGCCGATGGCACTTGTGCTGGTGAGACATGCTGCTTAGGAAGCGAAACGCATGTTTGGAGTGTTTTTGGTTCAATTTCTTCGTTTTGCCGTTTCCGAAATCTGTCTCAACACAACATTTCTCATGTTGCTTGCAGTGTTTTGTTGCTGATGCCTAGTTTTCCCGTTTCTATACTAATCTCAACACATCTCACCTTTCCTCGGCCCAATTGCATCACAGGCAAATGCGGTTCGATAAAGTGTGGGCCCAACGCCACGTGCAGCACGGATGAGGCGGGGGATGCATCCTGTTCCTGTGACAAGGGCTTTGAAAGGCTTGCCGATGGCACTTGCGCTGGTGAGGCATGCTGCTTAGGAACTGAAAAGCATGTTTGGAGTGTGTTTGGTTCAGTTTCTTCGTTTTGTTGTTTCCGAAATCTGTCTAAACACAGCCTTTCTCATCCTTCTTGCAAAATTTCTTCACTGTTGACTTATCATCGCCTTCCCAAACGTATCCTAAACAAAACTCACCTTTCCTTGTAACACGTGCATCACAGGCAAATGCGGTTCGATAAAGTGTGGGGCCAACGCCACGTGCAGCACGGATGAGGCAGGGGATGCATCCTGTTCCTGTGACAAGGGCTTTGAAAGGCTTGCCGATGGCACTTGTGCTGGTGAGGCATGCTGCTTCGGAACCCAAAAGCATGTTGGGAGTGTGTTTGGTTCAGTTTCTTCGTTTTGTTGTTTCCGAAATCTGTCTGAGCACAGCCTTTCTCATTCTTCTTGCAAATTTTCTTCACTGTTGACTTATCATCACCTTCCCAAACGTATCCTACACAAAGCTCACCTTTCCTCGTAACACGTGCATCACAGGCAAATGCGGTTCGTTAAAGTGTGGGGCCAACGCCACGTGCAGCACGGATGAGGCAGGGGATGCATCCTGTTCCTGTGACAAGGGCTTTGAAAGGCTTGCCGATGGCACTTGCGCTGGTGAGACATGCTGCTTAGGAAGCGAAACGCATGTTTGGAGTGTTTCTGGTTCAATTTCTTCGTTTTGCCGTTTCCGAAATCTGTCTCAACACAACATTTCTCATGTTGCTTGCAGTGTTTTGTTGCTGATGCCTAGTTTTCCCGTTTCTATACTCATCTCAACACATCTCACCTTTCCTCGGCCCAATTGCATCACAGGCAAATGCGGTTCGATAAAGTGTGGGGCCAACGCCACGTGTAGCACGGATGAGGCAGGGGATGCATCCTGTTCCTGTGACAAGGGCTTTGAAAGGCTTGCCGATGGCACTTGCGCTGGTGAGACATGCTGCTTAGGAACCGAAACGCATGTTTGGAGTGTTTTTGGTTCAATTTCTTCGTTTTGCCGTTTCCGAAATCTGTCTCAACACAACATTTATCATGTTGCTTGCAGTGTTTTGTTGCTGATGCCTAGTTTTCCCGTTTCTATACTAATCTCAACACATCTCACCTTTCCTCGGCCCACTTGCATCACAGGCAAATGTTCGACAAAGTGTGGGGCCAACGCCACGTGCAGCACGGATGAGGCAGGGGATGCATACTGTTCCTGTGACAAGGGCTTTGAAAGGCTTGCCGATGGCACTTGTGCTGGTGAGACATGCTGCTTCGAAACCCAAAACCATGTTTGGATTGTAATTGTTTGAGTTGCTTTGTTTTGCCGTTCCGCAAATCTGTCTGAACACACAATTTCTCATTCTGATTGGAATGTATTTTCTCTGTTACTTGTCGTTTTTCGAAATTTCATAAGAAAAAGGATAAAAATACAGTTGTGCTGGTGAGGCATGCTGCTTCGGACCCCAAAAGAATGTTTGGAGTGTATTTGATTAAGTTTCTTCGTTGGTTCCGCAAATCTGTCTGAACACATAGTTTCTCATTCTGCTTGCAATGTGTCTTTGCTGTTGACTTGTCATCCCGTTCCCAAACTTATCTTAATTGAACTCACCTAACCTCGTACCACTCGCGTCACAGGCAAATGCGGTTCGATAAAGTGTGGGGCCAACGCCACGTGCAGCACAGATGAGGCAGGGGATGCATCCTGTTCCTGTGACAAGGGCTTTGAAAGGCTTGCCGATGGCACTTGCGCTGGTGAGACATGCTGCTTCGGAATCTGAAAGCATGTGCGGAGTGGTTTTGTTTCAGTTGTCTCGTTTTCCCAATCTGTCTCAACACATAGTTTCTCATTTTGCTTGCAATGTTTCTTCGCTGCTGACTTGTCATCCCGTTCCCAACCTATACCTGACAAAACTCACCGTTCCTCGTACCACTTGCATCACAGGCAAATGCGGTTCGATAAAGTGTGGGGCCAATGCCACGTGCAGCACGGATGAGGCAGGGGATGCATCCTGTTCCTGTGACAAGGGCTTCGAAAGGCTTGCCAATGGCACTTGTGCTGGTGAGACATGCTGCTTCGGAACCCAAAAGCAGGCTTGCCGTGTTTTGTTCTTATTCCCGCAATTTCTCGTTCCCAAACTCTACCTTTAGCACGGCATTTCTCATGTTGCCTACATGCAGTGCCTTGTTCTTGGTGATTCGTGTATTATAGTCTTCTGATATCATCACGTGATATCCTTTCACTTGCCTCGGTCTCTTTTTCTGCAGACAACTGTGATGCGGTAAAATGTGGGCCTGGCGGCAACTGCACGAGGGATGCAAAAGGAATTCCATCTTGTAGTTGCAGCACTGGCTTCAAGCCGTCTTCTGACAAGCTCTCTTGCATTGGTGAGTCAGTGGGATGCAACATAGAGGGCGTGCCTTGCAATACGAATCCAGTCCTTGAAACTTGGCCTCCCTTGAACTTAGATTTCGTGCTAGAGTTACTCAATTGAGTGCGTATTGAACTTTGTGACCCTTAATTTTCACGATCGGGGTATCAAAGTTTCCTGATTTTATTGCATCCTTCCACTTGCCCCGGTCTCTTTTTTCCAGACAACTGTGATGCTGTAAAATGTGGGCCTGGCGGCAACTGCACGAGGGATGCGAAAGGAATTCCATCCTGTAGTTGCAGCACTGTCTTCACGCCGTCTTCTGACAAGCTCTCTTGCATTGGTGAGTTGGAGGGGTGCAACACAGAGGGCATGCCTAGCTTTTGAAACTCAGTCCTTGAAAGGTGCTCCTGTTCTCAAAGGTGCTCCTGTGTTCAAAGGTGCTCTGTGTTCAGGTGAGCTCTTGTATTGAAAGGTACTTCTGTGCTGCAGTTGTTTTCGCTTCCATGCTCCTCGTACCTTTTTCCGTCTCATCTATTCTTCCGTATCTGCACTTGTCGCACCTGGTGGTCTCTCGTTTCCGTGTTTCAGATTCTTGTGTGGCTCTAGGCTGCTCGCCCGGTGGGTCTTGTGCAAAAGATAACCGCACTGGGCCGCTGTATTGTAAATGGGGTGAGCAGCACTGGATGAGCCATGTGCTAGCATGGTGTGACACACATGGGCCTGTCACGGCATGGTGTGGATTTCATGATGATTTACCAGTGCATTGACAATTACTGCCTGAATTTGTATTTGAATTAAAGAAATTTCCCTATATTGCCCACCTTCAATGAGTCTGCCCTGCCGCACCCTCTCTTGCCTCCACTGCCTCTCTCAGACTCGCCATGTGGCAGCTGCCCTTCTGGAGCCACCTGCAATACCACAGTAGAAGTATCGCAACGTGCCCTTGCTCCGTACTGTTTGTGTCCTGCCGGCTATGCCATGACCCCAGACGCTTGCATCAAAGGTGAGATACCACTACCCTGAGGCTGGATGAGACACAGTGCTGTACTGCATGTGCTGTACTGCATGTGCTGTACTGCATGTGCCTTACTGCATGTGCCTTACTGCATGTGCCTTACTGCATGTGCCTTACTGCATGTGCCTTATTGCATGTGAATTACTGCATGTAGTCTGTCGCCTATTGGATGATTCAAACATGCGCCTCACAGGTGGGCCTGCATGCCGCGGCTTGAGTGCTCTGCCATCTGTGCTTACAGCAATACAGAATCCGCACTTCACTGCTTCACATTCCTGCTAGAGGCCGGGAAACAAGGCCAAGCGCTTTAACTGCCCACTTGATTGTGCCCCGCTTGCCACTTGCACCACACATTATCCAGGTGGCAAGTCTACGGTGGGAGCAGCTAGTATGACGTTCGTCAACGACAACGTAATAGACGGGGGATCCCGCCCGTACACTGTGCGCGCCAACCTCAATGCATGCACGCCAGTTCCCAAGGAGAGGGTTGGCAACTTCACGAGACGATTCATTGTGTACGATGCAAACGACGGCACGCCACTGTTCAGCAGCCGCGAGTTCTGGAGCGGCGACAACTGTACAGGGGAACTTCTGTTCCAAAGGACTATGCCAACCATTCCTTTACTAGCAGAACTCGTCAGGTGAGTGACCTAAATTTGTCAGTGACAACAACAATGCCCAGATCCATTTGACATTTGCCCAAGCTGCTTTCCTCCTTACCCGCTTCTTACTTTGTGTGCACCAGTTGCCTTTCATATCTTTCCCTCCCCTTTTCACTCTTACTTTCCTTCCTTCCACTCCCCTCCCTCCCCTTCTGACTCCCTCATTGCCAGGACATCCGTAAACTTGGGTTATGATCTCAGGATGAGGTCCATGAGGTTCAGGACGTAGGTGCAGAGACTGGTGCAGTGTCTAGTTGCTTTAGCACAACAGGGGGGGGGAGGGGGGAGGGGGGGGGGGGGGGGGGGGGGGGGGGATGGGGGGGTGGATAGGGATGGAGAAATTGCTTTGGGAAGGCATTTAGTTTGAAAGCATGGCTGGCTTTAGTAGAGTACCATAATCCCCCGGGTATAGGCGCATCCCTTTGTTTGGCGCATGTGTTTATAATAGTATAATCAGCATATATCTGTTATTCTATTACAAGCGCACCCACTGTCCTGATTTGTGTTCAATTTGGAAACAGACACGAATTTCACGAGCTGCACTGTAGTTAAATCAATTTTACTGCATGTGCTTATAGCATTCGATCAAAGGCGCACACCCCACTTTTCAAAGGTATTTCCTTTGAGCGCACCTATGCGTATATCCAGGGGATTGTGTCTGATAAGTGGAAACAACGGAATGGTGAGATTAGGCAGGATGGGTGATACAAATGTGAACCCTAGAAGTATTATACTCCCTACAGCATACCTCATTACAGCCTAAAACATAAATATATAGTTTGACACACCCTCATAGGCTAAGGGCGCGGAAAATCGCCAAAAAAACAGGTTGGCCGTTGATGTCAGAATATTATGCTCTAGCCTGTAGTGGGGTGCTCTATAGCGAGTACAACCCTTCTAGGGTTTGCTATTTGTATCCTCCTTCTTGCTAGTGCAACCCCTCCTTTGCCTAAACTGTTTCTTGCCTAGCTAGGGCTTTCCTAGCTATGGCGCCTTCTTCTACTGCTTACTTTCACATGGAATCAGAGCGATATGCTCCTGGCCTGTGGGCCCCACCTCACTGCTTCCGCTGCTACTGCTACTCCCTGTCCGCCGCGCGCCCCGTGGTGCGCGGCGTCGAAATTAGGGTTTTTCAGCCCGCCGTGCGCCCCGAGGCGCGCGGCGGTTTTCTGCCCGCCGTGCGCCCCGAGGCGCGCGGCGGTTTTCTGCCCGCCGTGCGCCCCGAGGCGCGCGACGGGCTTCTACCCCGTCACTCGCCGCGTCGCCCTCGGGAGGCGCTGCGACGGGCGACGGGGACCCGCGCGTCGCCCCCCGTCGCCCGTCGTGGCCTGCGCGCGGCCCGTACAGCCGGCGCGCGGCCCGTACGGGCTGCGCCAGGCCTGCGCGCGGCCCGTACGGGCTGCGCCAGACCCGCGCGCGGCCCGTACGGGCTGCGCCAGACCCGCGCGCGGCCCGTACGGGCTGCGCCAGGCCCGCGCGCGGCCCGTACGGGCTGCGCCAGGCCCGCGCGCGGCTCGGGCCGCCTGCGCGCGGTTCGGGAGGCTGTGCCAGGCCTGTGGGTGGCCCTTTCCTCGCTGCCCCTGCCCTCCCCGCTGTCCCCCGTGCTTCTGCTGGCGCCCCACCCCTCCTACAGCCCGTTCTCCTGAATTAGGGTTTGGGGGTGAGGGGTATGGGGGTGAAACTACTGTGTGCTGTTCCCTGCTCCTCCTCCTCCTCCGTCTCCATGTGCTGCAGCTGCCGCTGAGGGGGGGTGGACTTGTTGGAGCCGTTGGAGTGGTGCTAAGGGGGGGTGAAGGGGGAGTGGAGCTAGCGGTGTAGCAGCGGGTGTGTGTCAGGAGGGGTGGTACTGTTTGGGGGAGGTCGAGTGGAGGCAGCAGTCTTGTCGTCAGCAGCAGCAGCAGTCCGGAGGCTACAATCTCCGGTAGTCGCCAGTCGCCCGTGGGTCCGTTGCTCGTCTGCCGCTACTTTTAGCCGCGGGGCCAGTTACCCCAGTAGTCCGGAGCGTTGTTCCGGTAGCCACTGAGCCAGCAGCTCGTCTGTGTGTCTGCAGCGTCAGCAGTCGCCTCCCATCTTCTCTCCCCCACAGTCTCTCCTCCTCCTCACTTGCCCTCTGCGATAGCCTCTAGCTTTGCTCATAATTGTGAACTTTAAACTATTGCTTCTTGAACTTGTGCTCAGAATGTGTGGTGACATTGTGATCCACCCTGAGCTTGTACTGCTTTGCTTGCTCTGCTGATTACACCCCACTTTGGCTATGGGGGTGTGTCAGAATATTATGCTCTAGCCTGTAGTGGGGTGCTCTATAGCGAGTACAACCCTTCTAGGGTTTGCTATTTGTATCCTCATTCTTGCTAGTGCAACCCCTCCTTCTTTGCCTAAACTGTTTCTTGCCTAGCTAGGGCTTTCCTAGCTATGGCGCCTTCTTCTACTGCTTACTTTCACAGTTGAGATGTCGTTCTGTTGGCTGAAATATCCCTTCGCGAAGGTCGTCAAATTTTAGGCCAGTGTGTCGACAGGGGTTCAGCCAATTTACAGCGTATGTAAAAGTTTCCACGTGCTGGTGGCCGATGTCGTGAAGGTTGGAAACTTTGGTTTTGTTTTGGGGGCCGTTTACTGCGATGCCATCGCATATACCATGAAGTCACATTGCGACGTCGCAATGAGTCGCCGTGATGACTTGGCGACGTCGCCCTCGAACTGTAGCATTGAGAGTCGACTCTGTGGCCTTTCCAGAGTTGACAAAACTCGGTGGAGTGACGACCATGCAATTCGGCCACTTTTGCACATTTACGTGGTCGAATTGAGCGAAGTGCGCGAAATGTTATCGACATTCGCTAAACTGTTACTTTCGCAACGGCCACCTGGCCGAATTAGAAAGTCGCGCGATTTTCCATGCCCTAAGTGAGGGATGGCAAGAGAGAGCAAGAAACACAGATGGTGACAAGACCTGTCAAGCGAAACAACAACACAAAGCTCAGGGTGGATCACGAAGTCACCACGCAGTCTGAGCACAAGCAAACGACCACAAGGCCAGTTCAAGTATAGATAAAAGCAAGAACAAACAGAGCAAGAAACAAAAGGCAAGACTACAGCAGTCGAGGGCCTGCCCCAACAAGGCCTAACTGCAGACAGAACATGTGGTGGTCACCATGCGAAAGGGCCTTGGTGAAGACGTCTGCAGTGTTGGCCGCTGAGGCCACAAAGTCCAGGCGTGCTTGGCCGCGTCGCTGCAGCTCTTACAGGAGAAAGTACCTCACGTCGATGTGCCAGTCAAGGCTCTCGACACATGAGGATCATGGCCTTGTTGTCAGCGAGCAAGGTCGGAGCAGAGCGAGGCCGCTCACCAAGGTCGGTGAGCAAGAAGGTCAACCAGCGAAGCTCTTGCGCAATCATGGCACAGGCGTAGATATCTAACTCTTTGCTAAACTGTGCCACAGACGACGACCGAGTAGACTGCCACGACACAGCTCTAGCGCCCAAGCTGAAGCGGTACCCCTGAGTAGACCGCTAGGTCTGCACGCCGTCGGCGTAGGAAGAGTTGCAGTGGCCGGTCAGCACATCTGGCTGTGTCCCTCCAAGCACAAGCCCCGTGCTTGATGTAGTTGCCAGGTACTTCGCCACCCTCAGAGGAGCTGTCCAATGAACATGACGGTGTCTCCCAGTCGCAAAAAAGCGAGAAAGGACACTGAGGGGAAAAGCGAGGTCCGGACGAGTACACGCCATCACGTACATGAGGCAGCCCACAAGCTCTGCGTGAGGACCACTGGACTCAAATGGCTCGTCGGGAAAAGGGCCGGTGAGTCTGTGGTCAAAGGCAAGAGGAGTGGGTTGTGTGGTGGAGAACTGAAACCCGAACCGCTGAAGGACCTGCTCCACCATGTGTGACTGAGTCGGTGTGATGGTGCGAGTGGCTCTGTCCCTAATTATCTACAAGCCAAGGTAGCGGCGCAGTTCACCCAGGTCAGTGCACATGTGTCTCTTCTGCAGTTCGGACTTCACGAAAGCCAGAGCAATATTGTATATTGTAGCGAAGACCAAGTCGTCAACGTAGACAAGTATGAAGAACGTAGTGGAACAAGTGTGAACAATCAGCGACGATTGAGCGTACGAAGGACGGAACCCTAGGTCAGAAAGAGTTGTGTGTAAAGTGTTGTGCCACTCACGGGGCGCCTGGCGGAGACTATAGACTGGTCGTCCCAGGCTCCACTAGGTCACAGGCAGGAAGATGCCAGTGAAGCCAGGAGGACCGCGCAGCCAGATCTCCTCGTGAAGGGGGCCCTGGAGAAAAGCAGTGGAGAAGTCGAGGGCGTGCAACTCGTAGTCTCTCTGTGCTGCAACGTGAAGTAACACCCAAAGAGTAGTCATCTTCGGCGTCGGGGCGAAGGTCTAGAAGAAGTCAACTCCCTCACACTGACTGAAGCCTCTAGCCACGTAGCACGCCTTGAAGACAGGCGGTGATCCGGGCGGGCGCTTCACCTTGAAGATCCAAATGCCATCGACTACGTTCGCCCTGGGAGGGGGAACTGCGTTGATGTAAGTGCCCGTGGATCTCCAAGACGCCATCTCTGAGTCCATGACCGCTATCCACTGAGAGGCCTACTGCCCTGACACTGCCTTATGGTACGTGCGAGGAGTCGGTATGTCAAGGGCGTCGGGGTCTCCCTCAGGGGCAAGCAGCATGGCACAGAGGTGGGGAGATGCGGCTGCAAGGAAAACGAGCTCAAACTGCCTGTCCTTGAGCCCGTAACAGCCATGGCAGACTCACCCTCGGGGGACAGAGGACGGGTAGGAGGAGCAGACACCACACGGGTGGCGTAGTGAAGGTGGCGGGTGGCAGCAAAGTCACCAACAGTGGCAACAAGAGCTGACACATACGATGGAGAGGCACGAGGATCGGTGACAAGAGAGGCGAGAACACGTGGCAAGCAGCACGGTAGTAGTGAGAGATAGGGTGAGAGGAGGCAGTAAGAGACGACCCA